TTACGTAGACAAAATATGAACCGGATGCAACTGTTGAGAAGGCGGTCCAGTTTGTTAAGGAGAACTTGATTAAGGTCCGGATAACACACATCAGCATAATCTATGAGCGGGAAAATTAGGGCGTGGACAAGTAAAATCTTGGTTTTGACAGGAAGGAAATATTTTAATCTGCAAAGAGAACGCAATGTGGCAGTGACCTTCCGGCTAATCTCTGAGACCTGAGTCGTCCAGCCAAGAGTAGAGTCAAGGTATAGGCCAAGGTTCTTAACACTAGTACAGTATGGTATATCCACACTATTAAAAGTGACAGTTGAGACACTATTCATATTTAAACGACAGAGTTGTCGCTGGCTCCCGATTATTATAGCCTGGCATTTGTTGGGATTAACAGCAACGCCGTAACGATTTGACCATTCCCTGATATGTTCAAGGTCATCGTTTAAGCGATGTACAGCCTGGTCAATTTCGTCAAAACGACAATGTCGGTAAAGTTGAAGATCATCGGCATACAGATGGTGAGACGAGCCAATACCGAAGGTGAGTGAATTGATAAAAATAGAGAAAAGGAGAGGGGAAAGTATACCACCCTGCGGAACACCGGTCACGAGGTCACGCCAGTGGGAAATAGTTTTATCTATGCGTACGGCCTGTTGGCGTCCGCATAGGTATGAGGCGAACCAATCCATGACAACTGGTGACATATTGTATCTGGATAACAACGATAGGAGGACTTCATCTATTGTGTTAATAACATTTTATCATCCTGTTGAAGATATTGTCTAGTGTGATTGTGAGATACAGACTCAGTAGTGCTCCAGCACTTGTTGTTTGGAGACAGTGACTTTTTATCATGTGTTTTAGTTTAAGTCACGAGACATCATATTTAATAAAGATAATAATGTGTTTCTAATTGTTTGAGTATCATTTTCTAGATCATATTGACGGGCTTAGTTACCTCTGAAAAGTTTGTGCATTGATTAAAAATAATGGTAGAACATAAAATCAATGACGTAATAATAATTATGTCATTGATTTTATGTCATGATAATAACATAGCAAATGAAAATGAAAATGAAAATATTTATTGCCAGAATCAAACAATACAATAACTAAAAGACAGACCTCCACACTAGGCATTGCCTGTCCTGTGGAGGAGAGAATAACGATTAACAGGTAGAATTAAGTACGGCTAAGCTGAAGCGTTATTTAAGGAACCAATAAATCGAAAATATGAAAAGTACACAGAAGACGAAAAGGCATCAGGGATGGATGTAGGGTGTGTGCTGTTGTGTGTAAAAGTGTAGATGTGTTGTGTATTAGTGTGTGTGTGTGTGTGTGGGGGGGGGGGAGTATTTTCTTCTTCAATTATTTATTCTAATAAATTCTTCAGACTCATCATATGTCCAGTTCATCAGGGTCCGTGAGAGCATAAAATACGTAGCCTTATGCACAGATTAAATACCGCTTTAGTGCCAAAGTCGCCCACTAGATGGCGTTAAGTGTGTAAGAAAAAGTCCATTTTTTTGTCTATGGAGTCGCCGTTCTTCTCGTCAGAGTAAATATATTCTTTGCTTACTTTACTTTTGTGACAGCAAACAATCCGTTGTCATGACAATTACAGATTACTTCAACGCTATTATTATTTGTTATTTAAAAAATATTTAATACGACATTTAATTAAAACAAAATGTAACAATTGGACCAGAATGGTGCACTAAAAGTTACATTTAATAACAATGTATGCCATAATAAATGAATCTATCTATCTAAAACTTATCCGACGATTGAAAACCACACATTCGTTTCGCAAGCAACGGGTATCACGATGGCGCGCTCCATGTTCATAGTTCCGCTGATCATAACAAGATGGCGCTGTGCGCAGTTAGCTCGCGATATTAGAGTTTTTTTTCCTGAAAAGACGTCTCCCAGACCCAGCTTAGTCTACATTGAAATGTACAAGTTTGGAATTCAGAGAATAATTTTTGAAGCTTTATAACAAAGCGCGGATGCTCAGATGTTAGGAAATCGGTCTATATTAAGGCTGGGTTGCACCATCTTAATTCTGTACCCCCAGTGAAAACGGAGTTAAGTCAAAAATGGTGATTTTTGGGAAATCGCATTTGAAGTTAAAAAAAATCCTGCTTCGTCGCTATTAGAGATAACTTGGTGAAATATTTTTTAGGTGAAAGGTNCTTTAAAAGTCAATAAATGTATGAAAATGATGAATCATCGAACTTTTATGACTTTGTTCAGAGTGGTCCTACAACTTTTGTGCCATATTAACTATTGCTCCAAATAGCTAGTTCTAACAATACGTACCATAATTTTTTGTTGGCCGGCACTTTTAGAAAAGGCCCAAAAAGAATGATGTCCTTTCTGCTCACGATGGACTAATTATCTGCTATACTCTCGACTCTCTAAAGCACAACATTTATAAAAAAATTGCTGCGGTAATGCACTCCAGGTAACCGTGTGTGATGCTCATTGCTCATAGTGATTTTCGATACAGAGCCCCGTACATACGTTATACATAAATTATGGAAAGAAAACACCCAGACCAATACAAACAAATATATGTATGCAATTTTGGTATGATATTTTTATTTATTAATTAACAAAAAGACTGAACAAAATTGATGCGTGTACTGATTAATGTAATTAACCTCATGCAAAGTTTCGTGAATTGCAACANTATATTTACTGTAGTTATAAAGGTGTACCAAGGGTACATGTTACACCTTTTTATTCGATTGTAAGAGTACTGGTTTACCCACAAATCCGTTTTATCTGAATTTCGAAATCTTTTGATTACACTGGTGTTTATCATTCAAATCAATGACTAATGTTTGAACTAATTTGGACATATCAAGGTCTATCATTGGTATTTTTTTCAAACTTCTGCGTTGAGCCATTTACGAGATCTGGGACATCACAAAACATTACCCCAGCAAAATTCTAAATAACTTAAGAACCGGAACACGAACAAATTTTGCTATTCATGGACAAATTACTACGCAACAAGAGCTATCTATCCATGTATTTGGTTCTGGGATAGAACGACTTTAAAAAAAATTTCCAGGGTAATGTTTGAAACGTTACCCCAGCAAAATCTGTTTTTTCCTAATAACTTTAAAACTAAAATTTGAACGAATTTTGCTATTAGTGGACAAAGGAGATCATTCAGGCTTCATACATTTTTGGGCCTTTTTTGAAAGTGCCGGCCAACAAAAAAAAATGGTGCGTATTATTAGAACTAGCTATTTGGAGCAATAGTTAATATGGCATAAAAGTTGTAGGACCGCTCTGAACCAAGATAAACAATTTTGATGACTCATCATTTTCATGCATTTATTGATTTTTGAAAGTGCAGAGAATCATATAATGATTATTGATATTGATAGAACTAGTTATTTGAAGCATCTGTCATTATAGTGCGAAAGTGTGGGTTCATTGTCTGTTCAGTTATTTAAGTTTAAGNACTATACAAGATATCGAAAAACTGGTTACTGATCCTGAAACTGCTTCACGAGCTCTTTCAAACGGTACCAATAACAGGTTACAGAATAATCGGGATCTATCCGAAAATTCAATGTTTCCAGCTTCCATACTAAATGTATGCCAACCACTCAATATTAGAAGTGTATTTTTTTTTAAACTTTAAATAAACTCGTAAATTGCATTCTTATTTAAGATTATTTATGGAAAACATTAGTTTTAGGCTTTACTTGCTATAAAATTTGCTATAATATTATCAAGAGATGAGTACCATTATCTGTGATAGTCTCAGATCATAGAAGGGAATAGATGTGAAACGGGGGCGTGGCGCGTGTCTCCGCGATATGCCCAGAAACGAACATCGGCCGCGTAGCTAGGTTAGTCGCGATTCAGTCGTACTAAGGAAATGTTCTCCGATATTTTGGATAATGCGTCGTTACGTGCAATAAAACAAGTGAAACGAAGAACTACAGGAACAATGGAGTCATTTACTACATGTAAGTATTGCAAATCCATTGGTATTTTGCTTAATTGCTCATAGTGATTTTCGATACAGAGCCCCGTACATACGTTATACATAAATTATGGAAAGAAAACACCCAGACCAATACAAACAAATATATGTATGCAATTTTGGTATGATATTTTTATTTATTAATTAACAAAAAGACTGAACAAAATTGATGCGTGTACTGATTAATGTAATTAACCTCATGCAAAGTTTCGTGAATTGCAACAACTATAATTTATTATCCAAGCTCTAAATAATCGCTACTACGAGTAACTGATCATAAAATGTTTTTCCAATCGCTCAAGCTCCCGAGGATCTACCGATAGGTCGGGTGACGTAATCTTGAAATTCTTTTAGCCGGCGCGGAACTCCCGGAAGGTCGGGTGACGCCACGCCTCTTTGAACCGTGTTTACTTTGGCAGTTATATTCTAAATTTATTCGATTCTAAAATATATTCCCAAAAATTTTGAAAGTTGTTTTAATTTGTATCACTTGGATATGATTTGTATTAGAAAGTGCTGTAAGTGTGACGCTTGAACGGAAGGAAGTCAACCTAACCTAACCAACTGCGTATTTCTAAACTGCGAATTTCTATACTGTGTAGCCGCGAGAGCTCTTTGGCGCGCTGTCTTCGGCGAAGTATTGCGCGCGCAGATTGTGACAGCGAGAAATACCTACTTTAGCAGAAATACCAAGCCTTAATTCATTGTTTTTCCAGCCTTGACTTTGAAGTCGAGGATAAATAAAACGTCACAGATAACTAAAGTAAATATTTATTTATTCCTTAACGCGCGAAGTACACAGCCATTTTGATATAACTTAAATTACTTCTACGTATATTATTATGATAAATTTTGAAGTGTAAATACGTAATATGAATTTAACGTGTAAAATTTTGTATATAAAATAATGCATTACATTCTTTAACAATATGTATACAGTTTGTTTTACAATCTAATTTATTAGTCTATACATTTATTATTAACATTATTATCTATAATTAATTAATCTACTTAACCAACTAAATAAAACATAATAATATTGTATACTATTAAATTTAGTCACTAATATTCTTTGTTTACGATTTCCGAATAGTTACGACTCGAGACTTCGTCTCAAAAATACTTATTATACAATTTTGTACTCATAGTACGACCATCACATTATAGAAACTATTAAAATTTATTTAACCATAAATGCACATGCTAAAATACAACTCGAGTCGAATTACTGTGCGTTGAAATTGGCAGTAACATGTAGTAATTAAAATAAACTGAAACCTTTAATACATAGAACAATAAATATTTATACGCTGAACACTAAAAATTTATAAGCTGTAAACATACAGACAGTGCCCCCGGAAATATTGGTAAGTCAATAATATTAAATAGTTTGATTAGTAACAGTTCAACGCATATTGACTTCGTTCATTCAAATAACGAAACCTTTTAAACTTTGAGTTAATAATCTGTTACTGTTCATTTAAAAAAATACTAAAATACGTATTATTTCATTTCCACAAAAATATAGTCAGCGTTTTCTTGGGGTATTTTTAACTATGGAAAAAATTTTGCTAATTTTCTAGACAAACTTGTAACTAGTCCGATCCATCTCCAACACCTGAAGAATCCCCAACCTTTATCACAAAACATAGACCTTATACACATAAGAATCTATTACTATTAACAGATCTAACTAGAATAAATAGCTGTCATTGTAAACGAGAAACATAATACTTGTGTATTTTCAAAAAGGCCAGTTTTCACTGGGTCGACCGACAAATTAGCTGAATATCGCTTGAACCACCGACTTAATGCAACGATCCAAGATAATGTAACTACGGCTTAAATGACACTAAGATTGTCAGGTACTCGAAAGTAGAAACTTATAACGTTATTTTCAGTCAATTATCAGTTAAGCCTTTAATGTGCATAACAAGTCCAAATTTTTCATTGTTTGAACCTAAAAACAAGGGAAAAAAGTTCCTCAAATTATGCTGGGAACTTTATCCCACTGCCATATAGGGTTAAGTCGGTGGTAGAAGTTCGTCGGTCATACAGTTCGACCCACTAAAACTGTCCCCGAAAACTACGTATTATCTATTTAATAGAAACAAGTGCATATACCTGCAAACTAGTTGCAGTCGGTCGACGATAACATTTCAACTGCACAGATCAATTTGTTCTATCATTATGGGGAACAGTTCACTTGGCTTGCACCATGAGGGTCTGGATAAGGTCTTGGAAGTCAGTGACGTACCACGAAGCCCTCTTTTTCACCTCCTCCCTTACTACGTTGCCTCCGAAACCTGTAACAAGGAGAGTAAAACGGTCAGTAACATAGCTAAAGCAAATATTTTGTAAGTACGTAAAATCTAGCCAAGTGGAATTCAGAGTGACCAAGTTTGTAATATTGAGGATTGGCAGATCTATCTGATTTTTAGTGTATACAGGGTGGAAACGATAAGTGATCTCACTCGATTATTTCTAAACTATACAAGATATCGAAAAACTGGTTACTGATCCTGAAACTGCTTCACGAGCTCTTTCAAACGGTACCAATAACAGGTTACAGAATAATCGGGATCTATCCGAAAATTCAATGTTTCCAGCTTCCATACTAAATGTATGCCAACCACTCAATATTAGAAGTGTATTTTTTTTTAAACTTTAAATAAACTCGTAAATTGCATTCTTATTTAAGATTATTTATGGAAAACATTAGTTTTAGGCTTTACTTGCTATAAAATTTGCTATAATATTATCAAGAGATGAGTACCATTATCTGTGATAGTCTCAGATCATAGAAGGGAATAGATGTGAAACGGGGGCGTGGCGCGTGTCTCCGCGATATGCCCAGAAACGAACATCGGCCGCGTAGCTAGGTTAGTCGCGATTCAGTCGTACTAAGGAAATGTTCTCCGATATTTTGGATAATGCGTCGTTACGTGCAATAAAACAAGTGAAACGAAGAACTACAGGAACAATGGAGTCATTTACTACATGTAAGTATTGCAAATCCATTGGTATTTAGCTTATAAATAAAAAAAACTAAACATTTTTACGAACGAATTCAGTGCCGTAACAGTTACTGCGATATCGAAATCAGTGGTGATAAAAATTCTAACACACTTGTACATTGACGATTTAGTTAGCAACCACTTTATGTCATGCTCAACTACTGCGCAATGTATTTAATTTCTTCCGATATCCACTGTCGTGTGAAAATACACAGTACGGCCGCATGTGCCGGTCGTAAGATAGTGCCGCGCTCGTGTTCTAATGCGGTTTCCTATTATCGATAAATAGAAGTAAATTATAATTTTCTATTTTGTAATTTTAAATAAAAAAATGATGTGTTACTTGCGATTATAAGATTTTACAAAAAAATAAAATAACAGTAGAAGCCTCTTTCTTTATTTATTAGAGAATAAATTTTATAATAATACATTAACTTAAATTAGTAACTGTCAACTATGTAATTACTATAAGAGCTAGTTGAAAGCCTAATATAGGCATTATTTTTGATAAACATATGCGGTACGCAGATCGCCATAATTAAAAAGTAAATGCGTTATAGTAGTTAATAATAACGTATAATAATAAAAAGGTTTTCATACATAAGCATTTAGTGAAATCAGTTTCGATCCTTGCCCCTAGCGATTTAAAGTATCGATATCTTGTCGACTCCATTTTATCTTTGTTCTCTCACTAGCGTTTTCTTAGTGTGCGTCACGTCACGCGGCCATTGATTGGCCATAAGGCATGCCTTCTGGCCAATCACAGCACTTTTAAGCCGGTTGCACATGTTGTCGTAGACTCTCAGTCGCTTTGTTTTTACACAGTTGAACGTGTGTGTGGGAGCTGTGGTGGGGGAAATGTGGGGACACTGGTTCTCGTTGTAGTTACGCGCGACTTCATATCTATTCTCTTTCTATGATCTGAGGTGATAGTACTAAATGTATGGAAGATGGAAACATTGAATTTTTAGATAGATACAGTTTATTCTGTAACTTAATATTGATACCATTGGATAGAGCTCGTGAAGCACTTTTAGGATCAGTAACCAGTTTTACGATATCTTTTGTAGTTTTTAATATTATGAGGCTGTACCAAATGCATAGAAGCTGTAAACATTGAATTTTCGGATAGATCCAGTTTATTCTTTAACCTATTATTGGTACCGTTTGATAGAGCTCATGAAGCACTTTCAGGATCAGTAACTAGTTTTTTGATATCTTGTATAGTTTAGAAATAATCCAATGAGATCACTTATCGTTTCCACCCTGTATATCCTAAAATATCCTTGAGCTGGGTATACAATATTGAGAAAGTCTATGTCCAGCTGTGAACTGAGTAGAGAGTAATGTGCAGAGTCAGGACACTGAATTCTGAGTCAGGTTGCCTCTACGTTAGTAGCGCCATCTCAAATCACCTCCAGAAGTCCAGAGGCCAGATTACTAGAACCCTCTGACCATAAGATTTATTTAAATGAGTATATACTCGCCTCCCCAACCCGGCTGGCCAGCGTGGGGAGTGTAGGCCTAATTCTACATTTATTGCCTCTGGTAAATTAGAGAGGGTCGTCCTTCTGCAGTGGAGTCTCCACTGTTCACACCTCTCCAATGACTTGATAATGATGAGTGTATACTAACCAATAAAGCCGTCAGCAGGCGGGCATGCTTCAGCATCGGTGGCACCATCTCCGATCATAATGAGCCTCTGGTACCCGTGCAGTTCCTTCAGCCGCCTAATCACCAGCCTTATGCCACATGACTTACGGTTGAAAATAAGCTAGACACTAACCAATGAAGCCGTCAGCGGGCGGGCATGCTTCAGCGTCGGTGGCCCCATCTCCGATCATGATGAGCCTCTGGTACCCGTGCAGTTCCTTCAGCCGCCTAATCACCAGCCTTATGCCACATGACTTACGGTTAAAAATAAGCAAGATACTAACCAATGAAGCCGTCAGCGGGCGGGCATGCTTCAGCATCGGTGGCACCATCTCCGATCATGATGAGCCTCTGGTATCCGTGAAGTTCCTTCAGCCGCCTGATGACCAGCCCCTTGCCGCCAGACCTTGAGGTAGGTTCGTTCTCATCGAAGCCCGCGTAATCGCCTGCAAAGATGAAAAAACAATTGTTATTTACGGAAAATATTATGGTATTACAAGAAATAGGAAACTGTTATAGTTATGAACAAATTATTAAAATCAAAAATATCTTTTGGGGAGTGGATTCCGACCACATACATAGCTAAGACCACATAGATAGCTAAGACCACATAGATAGCTAAGCAACAGAATCGAGGCCTTCAATTTCTGGTAGACACAAAAAGAAATAAAAAAGTGGCTAGGGTGCATCGTAGACTGATTATAAAATATCAATATTAAATTAACCTGATTGTCCGATAAAGAAATAATGATTCAGAGTACACATCACTTCATGTCGTATGAGATAGGACAATCTATTGTTGCCCTACTGTACAATATAGTAAAAAATAAAACAAATAAACAAAGCTATATACAAATACAAAACAAATACAAGGTATAGTGTTGAAAACAAAAATATTGCGTTCTACAGTGTAAAGTAAACAATGGCATTGCGTCAACATACAAGATGCCCCCTGCGAAGACGTATATAGTCATAATAAGTCAAAACAAGTGATAAGCTCACTGGATAGGTACCTAGAAGATTGTACATAATTATCATTAACTCTAGTATTGAAATCTTGTATAAACATTTTGCGCATTAATTAAATATACGATTAACCTCTCAATGGATATTGAGTTCTGTTTAAAATTCAATTTTGTTATAAAAGCCGGTTCAAGATAGATAGTACCTTCCTTCTAAATAAATATTTTTATGTATTAGCTAATCACGATACCAAAATAACTTATTACTGGTTTTTGCGGAAAGTTTCGCGGATTAAATCGCAAATGTAAACAACAAACGAGTTATCTTATCATTTATTTACAGGTAAATATAAAGAAACTTAGCAAATATTTTACCAAAGTGATATTCATACTTTATTTATAGAATTGGTAATAACATTACAAAACAATATTTTTTCTTGTGTACTTTTTTACATCTGGATTACAATTTTGATCAGTCTCTAGCTCTACTTGTCTTTCTCACTCGTCATAGAATGATGGCATGTGTGATAGATATGGATAAATACAAAATACAAATATATTTTAAAGTGCTATGTCACTGTCGGCGCTTTAATAAAATAAAGCCAGTTTAAATACTTTATTAATGATAAAGGGGGACGATGCGATGTACGTGCGTAAGAAGAATAAATAAATCAGTAATCTGCGCTAAAAGTTAATAAAAATAATCATTAACAGCCCTTTACAGTCCACTGCTGGACTATGAGCCTCCTCCACTATAGTGGAGGGTTTTGCCATAATCTCCACGCTAGGCAGGCGGGTTGGAGATTGCAGTTTAAAAGATTGATGTTTTTCAGAGAGCGCTGCTGCCCATTCTCTGTTTAATGTGTAGTCCCTAAGTCGCCTCTTACGACACCCGCGGGAAGAGTAGGGGTTGGTGACAAATGACAAAATAAAAATAATATCTAACATTATTTTTATCTGTGCCCAGACAACAAAGGAAAGAGAGAAAGAAAGAAAAAATACTTAATTGATGCAAGTACCGACATCTTTACAAAATAAAATAACAGTAAGGCGTAATAACCCATTTGGTAAATACATACATAGAAAACACCATTGCAAGAAGCTAAGGATAATTTCACAGGATTTTCTTTTTTATTGCTTGTAATGTCACATTTTTTCTGATACTCCTGTGTTTGTAATTCTTAGCCTAGAAGCAGACCACCGACTTTTAGTTGGCCGATAGTTGGTCTCGATTCTAATTTTTATGAGGAATCGGCCGATACGATATCGGTGTAGTGTGTTTACTTTCATACATGTCCATACTGATTATTATCAGCCCGTTGGTATCGGCCAACTAAAAGTCGGTGGTCTGCGCCTAGGCTTACTTTTTTCATATTGTGTGTCAATGTGTTTTGCAAATAAACCTTTTATCTAACTATCTAAGGTAAAATGGTGTGGTTGGCAACAAATCGATATTATAGGCCAAATCTACAAAGAAATTCACACTGATAGCGGTTGCTAATCAATCCATATGTATGATTGATTGTCACTAAAATACAAATAACTCTTTACTTCTTTATCGGTTTATCAGATTATTGAAAACCAAATAACAGTATTATATTTTATTGACCTACATTAACTACGCAGCAAGAAATAGGTCTATGACCTGGCAAAAAAGATACGCAATTAATTTGAATTACAGCAACAATCCAAGAAATCTACAATCATGTCAAAAACACACCTTTTTCTAAAAAAGATGTGATTCTGTTTTTCTTCTGTTCTTACTTTATTGCCCATTTTATTTTTGTTTTTTTACCCATGGCTCCTGAAAGTCCTAAAATCTTTCCATTCAAAAAACACACCTTTCAGAAGAAAGAACACAGAAGTGTTTACAATGTTTTTGCAAATACATCCTAATAGCAATATGACTTTAAGATAACTTCATGACATTATTGTGAACGCTAAATAGGATCTCGTGTACAGTCCACGTGTATGCATGCCACACGCTGTTGCAATCAATTGAGACTACGTAGTACACAACAAACAGCAATGGACATAGGTCTATTAACTCAGTCAGAACCTGAGGTATGGGAGCGGCACAGAGGGCTAACATTGTCATTATTACACTCGACATCAAATAAATCGCACTTCCCGCGACAAGCACTTTTAAACGAATGCATCCCCACTTCCCACCAATATTGGCACCATTTAAAAGTCTAGTTCTAAACTTAATTTCATTAAAAGAAAGGTTTTTATTTACCCCAAAAATGTGTCTTTAGAAGGATCCAGAGTCACTTCTTCGGTAGTTACGCTTGAGCCAACTTTTATGGCTATAAAACTGTTAAGTTGGGATTAATCGCTATCCATACGTTAAATACCATACCTAAAGAGGATTTAGGACGCTATTTGGATCAAATATGTAATTGCTCAATAATGAATAATAAATCAATAAATAAATAAAATGGTCACTTGAGTGTTACGTAACTTTTAGAGAGAGGGGGGGGGGGGGTACAGAAAAACGTTACGGTGCGTTAAGCACTAGACTTATAGTACCTACACAAGCGGCAATGGACTAATAAAGATTAATAAAACTCAATAGAAACACGCAATATGACCGCCATATTTCCCTGATCTTATCTACTATTAATAGTGGTATGACGCTTCCAGAACACGCCCCTCTGATATTATTAATATCGAAGAGGACATAGGAACATGACTTCGACCGATCAAAACAATATAATCGTGGCCCAGTTTGTGCATATAGAACGCAATGATGATGAATTCAGAAGGTTCGCTTTGAATAAGCACGCAAATGGTGGTAACGTAAAACATTCATGTTTTAGACGTATTCTTCCTCTAGATGCAAATTAATATCTTGGACATTATTTTGGGCAACTGTCTCTTCAAACCCACAATTTGGGATACTAGATAGCAGTAACATCCTTAATCATTTCATACTTGGCCAATATAACCACCACCACCCACAAGGTGGACCGGATAGCAGGAAGGCACTGGATGCAGGCCGCTACCAACCGGTCATTATGGAAGTAATTGGGGAGGCCTATGTTCAGCAGTGGACGTCCGATGATGATACAAATATGCATGCACACAGGTTTGTCATGAACCTCTGACTTAGAATTCCTAAACCACTCTGAATATTGTAGAATTGTTAGATAAGTAATTGTAAGATAAGTACATAGGTAGAAAACCCCTACGGATTTCAGTTTCAAGTCGGCCGATCAAGCTGTACATTCTGGCTCCACAGGAGCTGCAGCGGTGGGAACGAGAGGTGGGAATAGTCACGTCTATTATGCTGAGCTAGTGATGTATTTCGTGACACTAGAGCCCCTACTTAATACACGTATCGTGTCCACATAAACATAAACGCAAAAGGTGGCGTCCGACCGTCAGCTGCGCACGCGTTCGCAGCGTGCAACGATAAACAGTTGTTTTTCTCGTCGCAATGCGATGCAAGGAATAACTTTCATCATCATCAACAGCTCTTTACAGTCCACTGCTGGACTATGAGCCTCCTCCACTATAGTAGAGGGTTTTGCCATAATCCCCACGCTTGGCAGGCGGGTTGGAGATCGCAGTTTAAAAGATTTATGTTTTTCAGAGAGCGCTGCTGCCCGTTCTCTGTTTAACTTTAAAACGCCTAAAAAGTGTTAAGATGCATCGAATTAAACTTTTGACACGCCCATTTTCTTATAAATTTGGCATACATAACTCACTTTTGTGTTTTTTTTTGTGTGTTTTTTTCACTGGGTGTGACTATGTATAATATTTATGTATTTAAAAAAAAAGTATATAAGTAGTCGTATCCGTTAAGGTAGCACCCATAACACAAGCATTAAGTTACTCACTTTGGGGCTAGCTGGCGCTGTGTGAAATTTTATTTTTATTTATTTTATTTTATAAAACACATGACAAATTACAATTTTCAAAAAATTATTTTAAGAAAATTGTTTTGCTTAGATCTAGATTGTAATTCAATTGTCCAAAGATTTATTTATTTATTTTATTTTAATCCAGGATTGAACCGACCTTGCGTAAAGCGTTATTTTCCAATACTGGCACACGCATTGGTGAAGGCATATGTGTGGACAAGGCATAAGGAACTTGAAATACAAGTACAAGTTGAAGTTCGTATTAAACTTACTCGTATCTCCTATGCAATAGTCATAATTGACATAATAATAGTGATAACAGGAGAAAGATATGCTTCTTAATTAATTGAGTGAAGCATGTGACTCACGAGTGGCACGTTTGAATAATGACCCGACAATTACATCATATGGA